TCATTAATGTCTTTTGCAGCAGCATGGGGGTTTGTTTGCGATTTCTTGCCAAACACTCTGGAGCCTTTGGGGCATAATATAAATAACAGACTTGGGATTTCAGGCAGAGCCCTCCACTTTGTATGTGAAAACCCTCCAGGTGCTGTACTGAGTCAGTTCGAGAATTCCATGAAATCTTCTGTGCATTGGTGGGTAAAATCCTAATGATTTCTTGAAAGTATGAAAAAAGGGAAGAAAACTGACCTTACACAAGATGTAACCTCAAACACTTGTGCAGTTCTCTACAGGTAAAGCAACTGTGGCTCCAGTTCCCAATGCCAGCACAAGGATGGGAAGCATCTAATTCCCTAATAACCATAGTACCAGCTCTGCTAAAAAGAGCTTAATAGCAATTCTACAAGTGTGTCTGATTCACTGCCAGTGAAAGGATAGGAACAATCTTCCAAATAACACAAAACAAATCCTGAAGTATTTATTTGTTCCCATCTTTTGCTTAGTTAGGAATCAGGCTGTGTTTAGAAGCTATTACAATTGGCTTTGGGATAAAAGAAATTCTGGTTGCCTTCCCTGTTATTTTCTAAGCGGTCTGAGCTGGGAAATACATCTGGGAATTAGATGGGGTTTGGAGAGGTTTTGCTATTTCAACCGTTTTGAGAGGGCATTTGGGTGGAGAAATCTGATGCTGAGAACCTACAAACTGCCAGCACACGTAACCTCTTCTCCTGCCTCTTCCTTTTCTTAGTTAGGAGGAGTTACTATTTTCTTACTTCAGATTGTATCTGAGATATCAGACTTTTATAACATCATCTGTCAGTATTTTCCACCTGTCAGAGGAACTCTCTGCATTATCACATGAAAACTACACTGTTCAGTTGACAAACTGGAAAAAGATGGTAGTTGGTTGGTTCTTCAACAATCCAAAGGTCTTTTTAAGGATTTGCAAAGGATATAAAGAAAGCAGCACTGAAACACAGTGGGCATGAATTGGTTTTTGTTTTTTTAGACTAACCTAAGCATCTTTTTATCAGTTGGATGTTGTTTTTGTTGTAGTCTTGGTTTACAGTTGATAAGGCATAGAGCTTTCTTTGCTGGCTGTAGCAAGTTAGGCTTGTTCCCACACTATTTCCATTCCATCAGCAGGAGAGAGTTTAGGTTTTGATCCTCTCTGAACCATTTCCTGCAAACTGACAGGAGTTAAGTAGACTATTCCTCGTCTACATGCTGCCATACTGCACTGCTGGAGTGGTGCTGGGCCACTTCATTCCATCACCTCTGGGCTGTCCTCCTACTTCCATGCACCTGAGGAGAGCCTGAGGTTCTTCTGGATCCAGCCATGCCTCGTGCTACACAGGACACAACTTCCTCAGCCTCTGTACGGAGTGTGTGGCCTCTCAATCATCTGCTCAACTGTCTCAATTCTTACTCCCCCCCAGCTGAGGGCTGCTGGTCACATTAGTGATATTTCCTTTAGGACCCAGTGAACATCACACCCACAGGAGCTGTTAGTGGGAAATCATGTTGTACGTACTGATTTGATTCATGTTTTAAACTACGGCTTAAAAACAAGCCCATATGCCTGTGAGACACAACTGATGGGTAACAGACAGCCACTTAACAAGAGCACACAGCTATTGATCCTTACCGTGGTACAGGTTTTCATGGGCTGTTACCAGGGATAGGAAAAGTTTGTTCAACTGCCTTTAGAGTCCTCAAAAGTAGAAGAAATAGAGCTCTCACTTTGCCATATTGTATTTCCCTTCCTCTTCTCTACTCCTTCTTACAAAGAACTTAGAAAACCAGAGTATAAAGGCAAAACTCTTTCTGCCAGATTGGCTTCATTTCCTATAATGTGTTTTAGCCATGTGGATTTTCTGTGCTTATTTGAAGGAAAGGAAAAAAAACCACCCCAAACTATTGTATAAGCTGTACAGGGCAATATCTGGGCAAGAGCTGTGGAGATAAGCACACACTGGACAATACTTTAAATGCTTAAATTAACAAAAACTGGCTTGGAAACTGTTTTTAGTTTGTCAAACTCAAGCCTCATCAGTGTGCAACACAAATGTTAAACTGCAGAGAAAAAGTAACTCTCTGACTGCTCTGCTCCTCTCATAGGTAGCTTAAAGAAAATAAAAGAATTGGTGTAATGTCATAAGCAGAAAGGTTTTGAAAGACTAAAATACTGACCTTTTGGAAGGAAAAAGCACCCCCAGAACAACACATGCATTACTCATAATGAAAATACTGCGCATAATAGAGCTTCCCAAGGGACCTGGCTTTCTTTCAGAGCCACCAGGGTTCAGCA